TCGCACAGGATGCGTTTGCAGTCCGCTCCTGATCCGTGGCTGTTTACCACAAACACATTTATCCATTATTTTGATTTCAAATCCAAACGTTGTTTCTGAAAATGCTTTTTCAGCATTGTGATTCTCTTTTATCACAGTACAGTAATACAATTTTTCATAGACATTCACGTTTAAACGCAATAAATATAACTTTGTTTAACTACCACCACGAGTGCCATCTATTATTGCCTTGTTTATCTAAAAGTGCACTTTTCCTTGTTTTAAATCTAGCCAAAAAGCCATGTGTTGACTGTGAAACAGTAGACTTTAATTATATTCATTTATGGTGTAATTACTAAATTGTTACTAAATGTTAATTTTTACCGCGAATAATACGCTGTCACTTTAATTCAGCGCGTGCAGCACAGCAGAAATAGACTTGCGCCTGTGTCGAGCTCGTCCGTCCGCACTCATCCGCGGTTGAGTATACTTTGAAAGCTGTGCGGATGCGGCTGTGCGCGAGACGGAACGGAACGGAACGCGTAGAGTTAAGTATACCCGGGCCTATAGACTCCGTGCGGAAATGATCGCAGCATGACTGCTACAGATGCACCGCTCCTGGAGCGCACTGCCGGACCGCAATCGCGTGCAGTGTGAACGCTCTGATCCGTTAACATGGGCGCGGAAAAAATACGCACCACAGAAGGAGTGTGTGAACCTGGCGTTACGTTTGCATGCCTGCCCGGTCCGTTCCGGCATTCTGATAGGTTCGGATAGCATACTGCGGGAGGTCGGGGGCGCGGAAAATCGTGCTATAAAGCGATTTAGAAATCGCGCAAGCTCAAATCGCGATTTTATGACGATTTCGATTAATCGCACAGCCCTACATTCAAGTACCTGTGCTTACTGAAATGAGCTCATGTCCTATTTTCCTGTGGTCAGCAATGACCACACACTGTCCACATGAAACTCATCAGCAGGCCTTTGATGCTCCTAACAACAACAACCATTCCCAAAGATTCCCTTAGGCACAGCCGAATAAGGTCCATTCAGTCATTATCATCCAGGCCAGGGTTTAAGACAATAACTCACACATTATCCATGTTATTAGTTCCACAATCTAAACAGGGGGTCCATGTATCAAGTCCACCTGAACCTAATTATGGTCATTTTTTAATTCCTCCCTGTGAAGATTTTCCCAGAGAAACCTCTGCTTGAACAGATAAACAGGTTACGTGATATAAACACTGATGTTTTAAAAGGACATACAGTTTAAGTCATGCATGACAAACGTTGGTTTGAAGGGATAAATTATGGGTTAATTTTAAAATGACAAAGTTTTTTATTCATTTCTGAATTAATTATTTATTCTTTGAAGCATTTTTAATCTATTCAAATTCAATTTTTTACTCTTTTCAAAAATTAAATCATTACTCAAAAATGTTTTTGCATGACATTTTTCATATATTAAATGTTTTTGTAAAAATATATGAAGAAAAATATCACTGTTAATGGATATGTATTGTTATATTGGTGAATACACACTACTGTTCAAACTTTTGAGGTCGGTAAGATTTTTTAATAGAAGTCTCTTCTGCTCACCAAGGCTGCATTTATTTGATCAAAAATACAGTAAAAATAGTGAAATATTATTACAACTTAAAATAGCTATTTTCTACGTGAACATATTGTAAAATGTAATTTATTTCTGTGATCAAAGCTGAGTTTTCAGCATCATTACTCCGGTCTTCAGTGTCACATTCTAATGATCTTCAGAAATCATTCTAATATGCTGATTTGCTGCTCAAGAAACATTTCTGATTATTATCAATGTTGGAAACAGTTGTGCTGCTTCATATTTGGGTGGAAGCTTGATTATTTGATGAATAGAAAGTTCAAAAGAACAGCATTTATTTGAAATATAAATCTTTTGTAACATTATAAATGTCTTTACTGCCACTTTTGATCAAATTAATGCATCCTTGCTGAATAAAAGTATAAATTTTTTGCAAATAAAATATTACTGACCCCAGACTTTTGAACGGTAGTCCAAAGGAAAATGATTAGATATCCCAACCAACATTTTCAAGATTTGCGGAGGTCAAAACAAACCCTCAATCTCACATGTTTCCGACGTCTGTAATAAATCCCTCCCTGAGGATCTGGTACTCCAGGGGGATCTCATTTGGACGTTTATCCTTCTTTAATTGTCAGACTAATGAAATGTGCAAAGGGTAAATTCGTCGGAGTGTGTCACCTGTTTCCGGTGCCTTCAAGGCATCGATCCCCTTTTCAAAGAGAGCTGCTGAATCAACACACATGAGGAGCAGATGTGAGCGAGACGCCAAAGTGACCACTGAAAGAATTTCAATCCTCTGTGCTAAATCCTCCAACAACAAAGCCCAGGTCGAAACAAGTCCAGAGACAAGCTGCAAACCCTTTGAAGATCTCAGCTGCTCATGGCCTTGTCCTTAACACAGAGATGGTGTGAAAACACCTCAGACTGTGTTTACACACACACACACACTTGTGTTTGCATGTACACACACTAACTAAATCAACATGCAAATTAACTTCAACCTTACATACAAAAATACAAAGAGTCAAAGCTAAACAAATGCACAAGAACACACAATAATACAACTGGACGAACAATTTGAAATGCAGAAACACAAAAGAAAACAAAAATCTCAGTATGAACAAATTCTTTCAAGATCATTATTTTGATAATTTTGATAATTAAGCATATTTTTCCAAAAAATTTCATTATCATAAATCTACAAAATAAAATCTCATTACTGTGATACCAAAAAATTAATTATTATAATATAATATAATATAATATAATATAAAGTGCTGTCAATCGATAAAAAATAAATAAAATGAATCACACTTTTTTTCTGAAATTAATCGTGATTAATCCCTCCTAACAATAAAAATTCAAATATACTTTTATATTGCAATAATTTCACATTCAAATTAAAATAATCTTAAAAATTAAATAATCTTCAAATTAATGTAGAAACAACATAAAGACAGTATACTTTTAATATTTGTTTAATGGCATCTTTTTTTATGACTCAAGGCCAGTATCACTGATAATACTACTACTACTGATGTCGCTATGAAATTGTTTTTTTCCCTCTAATATTTAACCATTGACTATATTCATTCAACATTACAGTATAATTGAGCTTTCAATTTTAACATTTATTAGACTTAAAAAAAAAATAACAACTTCTAATTTAAGTGAACTTAAAACAATCTTCACATAACCCCATTTTAATAAATGTCATATTTAGCAACCTGTGCCCTTCAGCAAGTAGGAAATTATATATACAGAAATTGAATAAAGTTATCAAATACTAAATTCTAAATTAAATATAGATGAATCCTTAAAGCTACAAAAGTTATTGATTTCCTTTTTTTTCCTTTTATCTTTGATTAACAGACATCACAGCAGCTGGGTTATTAGCTTATTTATTAATGGAAACCATGATGAAAAATGTTCGTTTGATGAGCTTTTTTCCCCATGACTAAAACGAGACGATGACGAGGTGACAATAAAGCCAATAGACGATAACTGTGACTATATCAACATGCAATATCGTTGACGATTAAAAAAACAAGACTAAAATGTATTTTAAAAAATAACTATACCAAAAGCTCTTTTTATTTTGTCAAAAAAAAAGGAGACAAAATATTATTGTGGACTGCTGTACACGCCTCTACTATGCAAGCTTTCATGTTTGCGGTTGCCAGATATTAAGAGTACAAATCCCTAAATCTGAGCTTCTCTGTTAAAAGGATGTATTTTCTGCTGTGTTTCTCTTGAGTTTTGCAATCTGTCAACCATGCGCAAGTGCTCACTCTTCATTACGGAAGCACCGACGATGATCAGAAAACACCGACAAACAAGTAAGCTGGAGTTTAGCTTAAATGAAAGTGTCATTCAGCCGGTCTGTGTTCTGTCACGAGATCTCCACTGTTTTGTTTGCGTTTGTGATTGTTGCTGAATAAATGCACTTACTCAACCGCTGTTGTTTTAATAGAGAAACATTATTGCAATTTGGAATTACTATTAGGAATTTCACTGTTAAAATATTTTTTGTTTGTTTATACTAGTTTTCATAAAGTAGACAGAGAGAGTGCATATCTAAGTCATTGATATTAATTCATATATTAAATAGCCTGTAATACTGTAAATCAGTACACTAGATTAGGTCAAATAAACCATGTGTATGAGTCCACATTCTATTGATCTGTGCTTACTGGAGAAAGTGCAATACCTGAAATGTAAATTTCTCAAATGACAACAAACATTGCGATTATAATTTTGAACAAAATTTTTTTTTTTATCAGTTAACCATTATACAGCATGACAAAAATGTGACTAAATGCTCAGGCATTTAGTTGACTAAAACTTGACTGAACAAAAACAGGACAAGATTGACTAAATATGATAACTAAAAAGTACATATGACACAGGACTAAGACTAAGACTGATTTAAAAACGTCTGACAAAATTAACACTATTATCTATTCATTGTTACACAGAAAATATAATGCATTAAAACACATGACAATCAATGCCACAAGGAATCTGCATATATAATGCATTTTATCTTTGCTTATAATTATTTTAAATATATATAATGCAAAAAATACATTATTCATTAAGACCTCAAGAAAAGTGTTACCAAACATTTTAACGGTCCTAAAATACAACTATAATTTCTTTATTTCTTTCTTTTCATTTCAGGGCGACCTCGACATGTTCTTGTGAGATTCACTCAGAAACTTCACTGTTCAAATTTGTAATTTCTGCACCGCTAGCAAAACCAAACTGAATTACAGAACAGCAGCTGTTGCCGAACCAGAGCAGCCCATCGCTCAGCCAAAAAGCTGCTGATGCACGGACATTTCGATGCTTTAAAACAGATGAAATGATAAATATCCCACCTGGAGACTTCTTGCACGGGCGAGCCGCCATCACATATGTCTGCCGGGGCAGGAGAGGGGATGATGGGAGGGACATGGAGACCCCTTTAGCCAGGCCGAGTCTGAGGCCTTCGTCTGCGGGTGGGAACGGATGGACACCAGCGGGATCCTGCATCCCACCGCCGGGACACCTGCGCTGGGCACTGAGCAGGTACGGCTCCCCTGATCAAGCACAGAGATCAAAACTTGTTTTAAATGTCCTATTAGCACATACTGACAGTAAAATTATTGCAAATATATTGCAACTCCTCTAAATATTGCCCAGCAGTATGATTCTTTAAGGAGCAGAAAACACAGTTAACAGGTTGATAAACATCTGAAATAATCAAGTCAACAGCCCCAGTGAAATCGACAGCACGTTTAGCATTAACATGAGTTGACTGACACTCTTCTAACACAAGATTGATTCAGTCATCTTAATAAAAACAAATAGAGCCAGTGAGATTGAGTTTATATTAAAAATGTGGCAGAATCCACAGGCGGTTTTCACTGTAAACCCTGAACGCCATCAAGAGAACCAAAACTAATTAGCAGAGCTCAATAATAATGCAGAACAATGGCTCTCAGATGTATTTTCATTGCACGCTATTCACAGCACTGATTAAACACTGCTCCTCAAGTCTTTCTTTTCTCCATCGTACTGTTTTTTATTAAATCTTCTTGCTTTTAAAGTTTATTGAACTGCTGTTAAACCTGATGAGCTGTGATTGTTTAGTGCCACATTAGGTGAAATAAACTACAGGCTTCTGGGAAAACTAATTTGCTATGTTTTGAATGGAATACTGTCTTACTACAAAGTGAACACTGTGCAGTGTATACTGTAAGCTGCCTACTATTTAAAAAAATACAATAAGAAATGCTTTCACATTAGGGTTGCAAAGGGGTGGAAAATTTCCGGTAAATTTCCAGAAACTTTCCAAAAATCCCTGGAATATTCCAAAAAAATCCTGGACAGTTTCCAAAATTTCTGGAATGTTTCCGAAATTTATCCGAAATCTTTTTGCAACCCTATTTCACATACTATTTAAAAATGGATTATGTGACAACTAACATTTCTAACAGTAGTATGCCTACATTTTGGTCACATGACCTCATCAGCATAACCATAAAACTATTTTTGTTACTTGAAATAAATTAAACTTTAGCTGAAATAAAATGAAATACACAAAAACTTGTGAAATACACAAACACAGAAATTTTATTTCAGCACGTTGCCAAGGCAACATTTCTTATTATCATTTAGTTAAACCTGATGTAATAAAATAACTACAACTAAAAATGAAATAAAATTCATATAGATACATTTTAAAAATCAAATAAAATGACAAAAACACAACAAAATTGCTAAAACTTTAATGAAAATAAAAATGAAAACAGAAAAAATTAAAAATAAAAACTAATTTTAAATATGAATATAAACTGTGATATTATCTCAATGATACTAAAATAACCCTGACCAGCATGCAGTTATCTAGTAAAATATTTTTTTATTTTTTATTTTACTTTGTATTTACTTAATTTTATTACTTAAATTTAATTTCGTATTTTGAATCAAATTTTTAAAATGTCTTAATCAGTAGTCAGATCAAACAACAAATCAAAAGAGAGATGTCATTTCTTCCAGTTTATTCATCACAATGGATATGGAAGGTTTCAGAGTTCACTGTATTGGGATACAGAATCTCACGCAGTGCGCTTTATTGCATACTGTGCATTTTTGGTCATCTGGACATTCAATGCATTCAGTGCAAGTACACATACTATTTACTGGAGAAGCACATAGTATGATAGTACATTATTGTGAACGGTGTCTTTCTCTGGCTTCCTCTCTTCTCCCACTCACTCTCTCCCACTGATGAAGAGCAAAACAGAGCTGTCTAGTTTTTGAAAAGGCGAATAAATAGTGAGGAACACCAGAAAACAGGAAGTCAGCGTGCCCTAGTCACACCTCCGCTCTCTTTCAACACCCACTGGGGTCACGAGCGTCTGGTCAGAGCGACCTGTGACGAGAGCGATGACCGATGAGGTCACAGCAATAAAAAATGTGTATGCTACAGTTTATTCTGGCCAAAATCACCCACTTAGACAGGAAGAGCTCATCTGACCGACATGCAAAGTAATTTTTTTTTGTAAAGTAAGAGTTTTGTCTTTTAGAGGTGAGTATAGGCAAGCTACATATTTTTCAAGTCATCACATTTATTTCTATAGCGCTTTATACAATACAAATTGATTCAAAGCAGCTTCACAAAAGTAAACCAGAAAATAACAGTGTTAATGTTGAAAAATTTATCAATTATGAAACAGTTGTAAAGCAGCAAAGGACATTATTCATTCAATTTTCATTCAATACAATTTTGCAAAGAATTATTCATATTGCACATTTCATTCACAATGGTAATTGAACAAAAGTAATGAAAAAAATAAAAGTACATAAAAAATGACAATAACAAATACATACAGTAGATATAATAAGGAGAGAAATAAGAATGGGGATTTTTTTTTGTAATAGTGCAATAAGTATAATGCTAGATTGCCGTCACATGATTGTTGTCATATCAGCATGCAGTTATCTAGTAACATTTTTTTATTATTTTGCATTTTTTATTCCAATTTTGTGTAAAAATGTTTTAATCTGCAGTCAAATAATGCGTTATTCATTTCAGCTGCCATTATTTGTTACACAGATAAATTTGAATAAAATGTATTTAAATATAGGAATAAGAAGGAAAGAAATAAAGACAGGGGAAAATATAAAAATGACAGAAATAAAATGATAAGGTGCAATTAGTAGGATGTAGTAGGATTGTATCAACAATTTCAGTTTATCTGAAATGGCAGATAGAATAAAAATACAGATGTGGTTGAAAAAAAAAATTATGGAACAGGAGTTTTTGTTCCTCTTTCAAATTGCAATAAAATAATTTCTTGGATTTTTTTTCTATTGCCGATTGCAATTTGAAAGAGACTTTGTAATCCCAATTATTACATTTAATTATTTAACATAACTCAAATAACAGAAGTAGGATATAGGCCACAGTTCTGCCATATCAAATTTACTTGCAGCCGTCACTGAATCACCCGACCAACAGAGGCTGGAATGAAAGCAGTGTGAGAGCGAAATCATAACTGTGTTCATGTTATTGGCCCAAACCTACTGTTCTATAATTCACACCATCTTACCCAAACAGCTGTAAATCCTTCATGATCGGTGGGCTTGGCACAGAGAGACTTGTGTCACGAATCATTTGCAAAACAAACTATAAATTCTACATCCACTCTT